GTAGTCCTCATTGCCCTTGAGATGTACATATGCATAAAATTCATTTATGCTAACTGAGCTGAGAGAATTTGAATGATGAACTTTCTGAAAAAACTAGGTTAGAAATTAGGGCCAGAGAAATTCTCTTTGGTCTTTGAGAGTTAGATTAAGTTCTTTACATGGTTGGAATCGTGTTTGAAAATGCTATAACTTTTACGTTGTGAGTTTTTGATTTAATGCAAGAACAAGAGAGAACATGATTCATGTGTGGAGCCATGGCACGCGCGCGTTCTGGAGGACAGGGATGAAGATAGAATGGACTGGGCCTGGTCCTTTTGGCTATTTGCACCTCCTTGCTTGCTTTCTGCACCCCTTGGTCCATTGTTATTATTTTTTCATATTTTCCATTTCTGTTTTTATTTTTTGACTTTTATTATTTTTTATAAATATAAAAAATCATCAAAAACATTTTCTTAAATTTTCACATTTTATTTTATTATTTTTATTAATTTTTGGACATAGAAATAATTTATTAATAATGATATACCTTTATTTTCTTAAAATAAATTCATAAATAATACAAAAATATTATATATTTTTATTTTTATTATTTATATACTTAAATAATATTTTTTCTCACACATTTTATTTTTTAACATTTAGTATATATTTTATTTTATTTTTCTTGTACATAAATAAATAATTATAATATATATATTTTCTTAAAACAAATTAGGATTTCCACCCTTAATAAAAATAATCTTTTATTTTTCTTATTTTTTGATACATTAAATAATTTATTTTATATACATAAAAATAAATACAAAAACATTTTTTTGCATACTTATATTTAATTGTCTATTTAAATATTTGTCAATTTATTATTTGTACAATAATTCAATATGGTTGTAATAATTTTAGGGTTTTTATTTTCTTGCAAATATCTCCCCTATTCAAAATTGTATCCCCCTCCCCATATCAATGTTGTAATAGTTGTAGATTTACTTTTATGTATTTATTGCTTTCAAATATGCCATGATAGCAAAACTAGGGTTTGTATGAAAAAATCCAAAATCAACAAATAGCTAGACCTAATACAAGACAAAATGTATGAAAATGACAACACAATACACACAAGCACCCCTAGGGTTTCATCTAATTGTTTCCTTAAAAACATGGCCATGGTATGCATGCTAGGTATCTTGACAAAATAAAACAAAAACAAAAGATCATAGTCCCTCGATGACGCTATCTTGGTTGCCTATACATAAATGATCTAGTCCCTCAAACAAAAACTTGCTAAGATACTTGGCACTATCGCTATTATGGTCCATACGATGACCCACGCCTGTCCCGTTTAACATCCAAACACAAGGTTGTTTACCAAATGCAATGGTAAAACAACAATGTCAAAGGGTAAAAAATGTGTAGGAAATATCTTTGAGTAGGGAAGACAACTCCTAGTTACTTGATCAAACTTGCAAACATCCTTGCTATTTCAAAAACACATCACAACACAATTTCAAAACATTTTCCCAAAACAAATTTTCAAACATTGAAACATTTTTCAAAAGACAAACACCTTTGTATACATTCAAACAAGAATCGTTACAAAGGTTGCCACAACGATGGCCTCTTTTCAAAATACTTTCAAAAACCACACACAAAGCACCATTTCAAACAATTGAAAAGAAAAAGCAAGTGATCTAAAATAAGTAACTAAGAGCCCATGGAAAACCATAGATGAAAAGGGTGCTCGCACCTTCCCTTTTCATAATCTACCCCCCGAACCCAAGAAAACATCTCAAAGGTTTTTCCTGTGCTTTTTGACCTTTCCTTTGGATAAATAAAAAGTCGGTGGCAACTCTTGCTAAACTGAAACATTTGCGAACACAAATGCAAAACCTCAAGTCAGTTCTCCCACCGCATCACAATAAGCTTGAGTAACCAATGAGAGAAAATTAAATGGAAATAATCTAAACTCTCATATCAAAAGATCTCAAGTAATGTCTACATAAAGAAGAGTATCTCACAAAAGCTTGTAAAAAAGGAATAATCTCCTAATTTAGTAATTGAGTGATCATATGTAACGCAAATGAGATTTTTGGTAAAAGAAAAGGCTAAAGTTCACACACATACAATCTTTTTTTAAAATGATTTTCTAATAGAAAATACTTTGAAAAAAATCTAAAAGTTGTATCAGATAAACTAGGAGCAGTCAAACAAGTCATGGGTGAAACATTAATTGTTCTAATCGATTAGATGAAATGTCGAATCGATTAGATTTGCACAAAATTTAGGCCCAAGATAGTTTGAATGCGCCTTGATTCTGTAGAACAACTAGATATCTTAACTTTCTATTTTGAGGCCTTACAATCGTATATTTTCATGATCTAATCGATTAGCAACTTGGTCTAATCAATTAGCTAACGGTAGAAAGCCTTAAATGCAAATTCCATATTGGGAAAAACTTTTGCCTATAAATAGAGGTCTCATTTCTCATTTATGAGCATCTAGAATCGTGCTTTAACACTTTTATCTCTCACTCAATCTCTCTCTAAAGTTATATTTAACTTTCTCTCACTAAATATTTTAGTCAAATTCCTTTGTGAGAAAAGTTTCTTTGTGAGTGAGTATATATCTGTAACTCTAGAAAGGGTAAAATTATAAAATTCACCAAGATAATCTTTTGTATGCACCTTGACTGAATACTGTCCATTTAAAGATTTATATGGGTTATAAGCTCATCGTATTAAAGCTTATACTCTGAGATATTGGGATCAGTCCTAGATTTAGTTGAAGATTAACCATTGTTAAAATCTTCATAGGTTCTTGGTTATCCCGGTTAAAATCAAGATAGGTTGAAGCTCATTCTAGTATTAAAAGCTTTACAGGTTCGAGATTAGCCCGACTAAAATCTCACAGGTTTTTGGTTAACCCGGTTAAAATCAAGGTATTTAGCTCATAGTTTTTGGAACTTGAAGACTAACCGCTCCAAGTTGGAAAGAAAGATTGGTCGCTTCACTCTCAATAATATATTGAAGAAAAGATGCAAACACCCACATCCATTGTCTTATATTATTCAGTCGAAGATCAACCATCATTTCCTTGTCTAAGAGGGGTTCGTGAGTCTTTCCTACTAAAAGTTCTCAACTATTATTGGAAAATCTTAAGATCAAATCTTGGGGACAGAACTAAGTCATTTTGTATAATTATTGGTGTTCTTCTTCTTCCCTTAAACTCTTTAAATTCCGAAATTTATTTTCTGCTATTTACTTTCTGTTACTTAAGTTTTTCAAACTCTGTCTTCAATATGAAATTTTTTCAAAATCATATTTTTTCAAACCACTCAATTCACCCCCCTCTCCTTGTGTGTGAAGTCTCAAGTTTAACAAGTGGCATCAGATGCTAACTTCTGTTTAAGGATGAATCATCTTAGGAGGAAGATGACTTCTGACATAATCTCTTTATTAAATACACTACCACTTTTTGAAAATAACAGTTTTTATATTTTCCAAGTTAGATTCAAAAAATTTATTCAAAGTTCAAATCATAAATTTTGGGAAATAATAGTCAATAGTCTGGTTTATCCTACTCATCAAATAGATGATGAAGTAGTGGAAAAACCCTATTCTCTTTAAATCGAAAAGAAAGGAGAAAGAAAGGAGAAAGATATATATATATATATATATATATATATATATATATATATATATATATATATATATATATATATATATATATATATATATATATATATATATATATCTTAAAATCAATAATTTTATAATAATGTCTTTAGATGATAATAAACTTTTGATGTTCTTCATTGTAAAACCCTCAAGGAAGTATGTGATACTCCAGAAAAGATATATGAGGGTTCTTTAAGTATCAAGCAAGAGAAGATGAACACACGAGGCGAAGAAGATAAAAATATTAGTCATAAATGTTTTTCTAATATAGAAAAATTTGTTAGAAAATGTTTTGCTAACAGACATCTAAGAATTAAGAATTGGAAACTCAGTCCAACTATTAAATCAATAGATGAGAGTCTTCATGAATTTCAGGAGCAATCAAGAAGGAAGGAAATCACAGAGAAGATGAAAAAGCTAATTCAACTACTTAAAGATAAACAAATCCAAATTGAAGAATCATTTTCATCATGTTCCTATCATACAACTCCGGTTCAATCCTTTAAGAGAACACACTTAGTAATTGAACGATCTTCGAAAAATTCAACATCAAATGAAGGATCGTACCCGGGTCCATTTTACAACCTTCAAACTAAGATAAAAATGATTCACATACATTCTAGCTTGAGGGAGACTGTTAAAGATAAAGAAGGAATTGAGGTAAACTAACTAGTTCATAAAATGATTAACTGAATTGTAACTAACTTCTAGGTAGTTATCAAATAGTTAGATGAATGTTCAAGTTAGTTAGACATTACTTGCTATATAAATAAGCCACTTCACTTGTATACAAGTATGATGATGAGTAATTGAACTCCGCAATAATCTTTCTTCTTCTACATTCGGTTTTTCTGCATTTTCATATGTTCAGCTTGAATCTTAACATTGACTGTAATTGAATTGGCATAAGAGTTATTTATTGGAATTGGCATTGCTTGTGACAGTATATTATTTAGCAATAAATTGGTGACTTTGGCTTTTAAAAAAAAATAACAACACACAAAGCTCGAGCTTCTCACTTTCTGGTTGGCTTATGGTAGAATTGCAAATTTAGAAATGCTTGGTGGGATGGTAAGGATTCACTTCCTAATGTATTTGTGAAACATGAGATATTTTCTTTCCTGCACTTACTTTGTGTTGCATGATACCCGCATCTATCTAACAGCTTTTGACCAAGCATTTAGTTGGCTAAACTTATATAATACACACTAACATAATCTGATAAGCGTTTAATTTGCTAGAGTTTTTCACATCAACACAATCATAATCTTTAAATTTGCTTACAAATAACTTTGCATTAATTATTTAGTAATAGTACTATAATTTACTTCATGGAAGATTGTTCTTGTCAACTCCTCCTTTTACAAACCGCCGCCAAAACCAGTGTTTTCCCCATATAATACACATTGACTCCAAAGCTATTCCTTTAGTCTCAGGCAAGAAAAATATTATAAATAGAGTCATCACTGCAACCCAAAATGCATAGAACAAGAAAGCACCAAACTTAAAATGACATAGCATTGTTAAGAATGTCTGTGATAACACAGACAGTGTTACGAATTGTACTCCAACCGCAATACTTTGTCCAGTTGATCTGATTTTCAAGGGGAAAATTTCACTCGGAATTAACCAGGTTAGTGGCCCCCACGAAAAGCCAAAACCTGCAGCATAGACACATAGTAACACCAATACCAATATTGCATTTTGCTTTGATATGTTCTTTGTACCATGAACACCGGTCACCAACGCTAGCACAACAGACACTGCAATCTTTCGAAGTGGAAACACAAATTATAGTTGAACGAACAAAAGAAATTTCGAAAAAAATACAAAATCTGTGGCTAATTTGCTTACCAGACAAATAAGCATTAGAATGCCACCCAAAATGAACAAGAATCTTCGACCAAATCGATCAACAAAAGCAGTGGAGACTAAGATAGAACCAAGATTGACGAGTCCAAGTATAAGAGCGGAAAGTAGAGCGCCATTATGTCCCAAACCCACAGATTGAAAAAGGTTAGGTGAATAGAATGCTACAATGTTGATCCCTGTAAACTGTTGGAAAAACGGGATTGCGAATGCCATGATCAAGTGAGGCCGATACTGTCTCTTAAATATGGTCGTAAAAGGCTCTTGTTGCAGTGTTTTCGTAATTTCTGTCAACTTAATGAGTTCTTCTAATTCAGGTTCAATATCAATGGAAGATCCTCTGATTTTGACCAATGCTTTTCTGGCTTGGTCTATCTTGCCACGTTCGACCAAACTGCTGGGCGTGTCGGAGATGAGGAATGCGCCAATCATCATCACGCCTGCAGGAACCACTGCTAGTCCAAGAGAGAGTCGCCAGCCCCACGCGTGTTTGGCAGTCGTGTAATTTATGCAGAGGGCTGCAACCACGCCGATGCCTGCAAAGAACTGAAAGCCTGTGCTGAAAGCGCCGCGCCATTTAGACGGAGCAATTTCTGAAAGGTATAAAGGCGTTGCCTTGAACAGCCGTATAATAGTCGTTAGTGTCATTGTTGTTATGTTGGACTAGTATTGTAAAATGTGTTTACTTACTTGATTAGTGAAACCAACTCCAAAACCGAGAAGAATACGACCAAGGATGAGCATAGCAACATTTTGAGCACCTCCATTGATGGAAGCACCGGCAAAAAAGATGGCACCACCCAACATGATGGTGTTTCTTCGACCTATAGTTGCAGTGACTTTGCTTGCTAAGAGAATTGAAACTAAACCAGCTAGATACAAAGAAGACGTAAACAATGTCAACATTTGACTGTCATACACACAATACATGTTCACTTCTGTACCAGCTGCTTTTCTTAGAATATCTGGAAAGAATTTCTGAAGAAATGGCACCATTGTTGTAACACCTCCTGAAACTCCGATGTCGTATCCGAAAATGAGTCCACTGGATGCAGCAACGATGCAAGTAATGACAACTGAGAGTGTTATTTTTCCGTTGAAGCCATTGGAAGGTGCATCAATGGTGAATCCTCCACCAGCCATTTTGATCTGTGTTCTATCTCTTGATCTGAATTCCTATGTTAGTAGCTCAGCTATGGATTACTCATTACTACTTATATATAAGAGAGTTTGTGCTCTTGAAAAATAATTACTGCAAAATTTGAAAACAAACAAACTGTCATTGTCCAAGTTTGATATATTGCTAATCATACACACCAACCTGGGTTAATTTTAAAGAAAATTACAAAGGGTACATTTATTTAACTTAGAAGTAATTAATTCTTTATTATAGTACATATTTGTAAGGGTATTTATGGTGTGGTTTGAGCGATTTTGATGCTAAATGTCATCTTAACTGCAAGAGAAAAATGTGTGGTTTAGTTTGGTTTGATTGACTTTTAGAAAAAATCGAACAAAATTAAACCAAACAAATGCAGTTTGGTCCGGTTAGGTTTCTTACAAATATTTTTATTGAGTCATACATACACATATAAATGACAACATAACTTTGTATTTAGTCATGAGGAGAAAATGGGAGTGGACTTAAACTTGTTTTCTTTTATAAAATGTCCAACTAACTTTTAATATGAATGCAAAGTGATTTATATAGAGATCACAAGATAGAATATTAAATGTTACATCATTAACTATTACTAGGTCCCTAAGGAATAAACCTTTCACTCCCCAAAGATAATCTGTCTTTTACACTACCCAATGCAGATTTGAATTTAACCAACAAAACTCCCCCATAAATTCAAATTTTTCTTCGGTCTATAATGCCTAACATTTTCTTGCCTCTGTCGAGTAGCTCCTTCGATAAATGGTTTTGTAAGAATGTCTGCTGCTTGATCCTTGCTTGCAACATGCTTAAGTTTGATGCTTCCATCCTTCACATGTTCTCGAATAAAATGGAATCGAACACCAATGTGTTTGCTTCTTTCATGGTTGATTGGATTCTTTACCAGTTCGATTGCAGATTGTTGTCGATTTGAATTATTGTTGCATCTTCCTGTTTCGACTCCATCCTGCTCAGCAGTCTTCTCAGCCATATTGCATGGCATACGCACCAAGATGTTGCCACATACTTTGCTTCACATGTCGAAAGAGTTACTATGGGTTTCTTCCTTGACAGCTAGGTGAATACAATGTTTCCCATGAAGAACACATATCCTGAAGTGCTTTTTCGATCATCTATGTCACCACACCAATCGCAGTAAGAGTAGCCAGTCGACTTGTATCCTTCTTCTTTTGAATAAAATATTCCAAGTGACACAGTTCCTTGGACATATCGAAGGATTCTCTTCAGAGCTTTCCAGTGTGCAAAAACTGGTTCTTCCATGAAATGACTCATAATTCCAACACTCAGCGAAAGATCTGGCCGTGTGCATGTGAGGTATCGAAGAATTTCCACCAAGCTTCGAAATTTGTTTGCTTCGACACTGTAATACGGTGGGAGAACTGACTTGGTATGTTTTGCGTTTGATCGCAATTGTTGCGGATAGCAAGAGTCGCCACTGACTTTTCTTTTATCCAAAAGGTAAGGTTGAAAAGAACAGGAAAGACCTTTGAGATTTTTTCTTGAGTTCGGGGGGTAGGTTATGAAAAGAGAAGGTGTTAGCACCCTTTTCATCCGTAGTTATCTATAGGCTCTTACTTGCTTGCTAGATCACTTCCTTTTGTTTGAAAATGTGCTTGTGGTGTGGGTTTCGAAAGTATTTTAAAAACGTGTCTTTGTAATGGTTCTCGTCTCTATAAGAACGTGTATAAAGTGTTGGTTTTGAAAATATTTCAAAGAGGTGCTTGTGGAATGTGGTTTTGAAAGTGATTTTGAAAAGGTGTCTTTGTAATAGTTCTCGTTTCTATAAGAACACATACAAAGTGTTTCCTTTTGCAAATGTTTCAAAATGAGAGTGTTGGTGTATAAAATATTTTGTTGTGAGCAAGCGAGCAACTAGGAACAATATACCTACTCAAAAGGTCTTTAATGTTCTTTTTCTCCTCCTTTAGATGTTGCTATCTTACCATTAATTTGATAAGAAGCCCCATCGTTGAATGTGAAGGGACGGGCATGGGACGTTTGTATAGTCATAGAAGGAAACCTATGGGACGTTTTAGCAATGTCGTTTAGGGACTAGATCGTTTACCGAATGCAACATTGAGGGTCATCGAGGGACTACGATCTTTTATCGAGGGTCTTTGCTAAAACGCCCATATTCGAGGAACATGACTATTTTTCCGAGGCAACAAGTGGAATTACCCTAGGGGTGCATGTGTGAATAGTGTGTTTGATTTGCATGCATTTAGTCTTTGATTAGGGGTTGTCTACTTGTTGTTTTCATCTTGCCATACATACCCTATTTTACTAGTAATCATACAAAAGTAATAAAATACAGAAAGATAAAATCCTACACTATTACAACCATATTGAATTGCATGAAAAATATAAAGGCAAAAATAAAACAAAAGCAAGAAAAGGGGTCTTTTCGATTTAGGCAGAAAACTCTTCGATTCTGCACTTTCTGGCTCTCTTAGATTTGGCCTGAAAAGCATGAAGGTATGAATTTCGATTGGGGCATGAAGGCCAGCATGTTGAGCCTTTCGAATGGGCCTGGAGTCAGTGTAGGCATGCCTTTCGTCTGGGCCTGGAAGTCAGCATGGTGTGCCTTCTGGCTACCTCTTTCGTTTGACCTAGAGGTTAGTGTGGAAGCCAAAGGCTTCATTTCCAACTTCCTATTTCATGTTTCTTTCGTTTGAGTTTGAATAGCAACATGGCCTAAGGCCATTCCAACATTACCTTAGGGCCAGGTTAGTTCTTAAATCATGTTTAAATGTACAAAGAGCAAAAACTAAGAAGGTTGTTAACCATGAAACATATTAAAAGGGTGGAAACGAAAAAAAGAACAATAGTATGTACATGTTTGAAACGAAAAGGAATTGTATTTACATGTTGTGCTGGAAACGAAGGAATAAAGGTTAAAGATGACTTACCTTGCTGGAGGATGGAGCGTGTGCTGGATCTACAAGTGGTTAACTTGAATGCTTCTGGATTCCAAGGGAGGGACCAGAGGTTAGGCCTTTGATGCTGGATTCAAAAGAGGAGAACAAGCGTGAGGTTCTTCCTGCTGGATTCGAAGGGAGGGACCAGAGGTTAAGCCTTTGATGCTGGATTCAAAAGAGGAGAATAAGAGTGAGGTTCTTCCTGCTGGATTCGAAGGGAGGGACCAGAGGTTAAGCCTTTGATGCTAGATTAGAAAGAGGAGAACAAGCGTGAGGTTCTTCCTGCTAGATTCGAAGGGCAACAAAGTACAAGGATGTTTCAGATTCGAAGAAGACAAGAGTTTGGATTTTGGGTTTGTGTTTTCATAAGTGTTTAAGTGTTTGAGAACTTTTTGGTGTTTGAGAAATTTGAATATTTGTTCCTCTGACCCCTGATCTTTGCAAAGGATCTCTCTATTTATAGAGAAAGGTTTTGGGAAGTTTGAGAGTAAAAATAATAAAATAAGACTTGGATGGAAAACAAATGTCCACTTGTGTCATGATCCCAAGATGAGATAGCAAGATTAATGGTTTAGATGGATTACTTTCTGCAGAAGGAAAATAGGCGCAAGGCTCAAGAAAGACTTTTCTAAAAGTAATATTATACTATTAAGTGCAAGTTGTCTTAGACAATAAATGGGTAAAAGCCTAATTTAACTGTATAGACAATTAAATATATAGTGAGTCATAGGTTTGAGGCCTGAAAAGCAGAAACACGTAGCCTAGCCTATGGGTCTAATGTTTAACTTGATCCTTTGAATTGAATCCTCCATCCTTCCACAACTTTTAACTAGACTAAAACAACATTCGTTTCCACCAGTTATGTGTCCTTCGAATGGACCAAACATGTATTCTTCGAATGGGCCAAACGTGTATTCTTCGAATGGGCCCTCTTCAGCTGAATATGCCACTTTGAGTCCTTCTGCTTTGACCACTTAGGTCCAAACCTTTGGCCGAACTCAAAAGCAGGAAAAACTAAATGTTCAACCATGGCAAGTCTTTCGAATGAGCCACCAAATTATGTGCCATAGTGCATAAGCTAGGCATATTGAAGGGTTTACAGATGGATTCGAAGGTGATATAAAGGTCATTCGAAGCAAACTTGAAGGTGGATTAGAAGCCAGTATGTAGGTGTATTTGAAGCAAACTTAAAGGGAATCATTGCTTTATGGGTGCTAGCATGAGAGAAACCCCCGCCTTGTGCATGCAAGCTTGTAGGAGGATTCGAAGTTCATGTTCTGATTGAAGAACACAGCTTCCATACGTTGAAGAATGAGATTCGAAGGGTCATATTCTGATCAAAGAGTAGAGCTTCTGTATGTTGAAGAGTGTGATTCGAAGGGTCATGTTTTGATCGAAGGGTAGAGCTTCTATATGTTGAAGAGTGGGATTCGAAGGGTCATGTTCTGATCGAAGGGTAGAGCTTCTATATGTTGAAGAGTTAGATTCGAAGGGTCATATTCTGGACGAAGCAAACTTCTGACCTTCGATTCTCCCTGCTCCAGCATGATCTGAAGGAATTCTATAGAAAGCTTGTAACATATTCTACCATCCCTTTTTGAATCACTTTTGAAAATTTTGATTGTACTTGTGTGAAAACTGGCCCAAAAGTTCTGTCTAAATTCTGACTTAAAAGTGCCCAGAATTTACTAAGTGTTTTAGCTTCATGGACGTGTCTTCAAGTATTTATAACTTGAAATACCATCATTTCTAGGAGAAGTTCTGTTCAATAATGTTTTAGATCTCATTGAGATCTATAACTTTCATGTTAGAAGTTCTGATTGAATCATCTTGCATCATGACGAAAATCTGGCCCAAAGTTATGTAATTATCATATTTTCTTAACACTTAGAAAATTTTCTAAGTGTTTAGAAATTTGACTTTTGATTTCTTGATGAACCAACTTCATGTCTTGATGAAATATGATTTTTGAAACTTGATTTTGATCAAAAAGTCAAAGTTTGACTTTTCAGTGTGTATTTGACCATTTTGCCCTTGTGAATGAT